ACATCTCGAACTGGGTTCGGGATAACGTTTCTTCAAATAACGAAAAAAAATTGGTCGTTAAAACATTGTGACTCGTTAAGCGGGATTCACAGAAGCTTTTTTTGCGATGTGATGGGTGATGCGACGCGATTTGCGACGGAGGCGTGCGATGTGAACTCGCGAAATACCATTCACAGAAGAAGTCAGCGATGCGACGACGCCTTGCTGATTTGGCGCGAAGTTCAATGCAGGTGGGTATGTCACCTGCTGGTGACCATGGTAATCGCACCGTTTGGTACAACTTGTACAATTTTACAGGCAACTCTTGAACCTTTGTACAACTTAGCTGTAGAAAAGGTCAAAATTGTACGCCAAATCGCTTGTCGCATCGCAAAAGTTGAGCCAAGCTCAACTAACAGTTACTTCTGCAATGGCCCAGTTGCGGCAGTTGCGTGGGGTGCGAGATGGCTGCGATTTGGGGATTTCCCGGTTTCGCGGCTGTCGCATCGCAAACAAGCTTCTGTGAATCCCGCTTTAGACTTTCTGGTTTTACAGTACACGGGTAAAGCCAACAGCAATCGATAAAACCAATAAATCAATCGTTCATGATATTGGTTGATCGTTAGGAGTTATTGAATGATCGTTTCAGCCCTATTTTGACGCCACTTGTATGCACGTTGTTCTGAAGGTGTACTGTATATCAAGTGTACAGTCAACTTCGCTAATAACGACTGCGGATATAACGACAATTCGCGAATAACGACATAATATTCATGCTCAGAGCAAAGTCCCATCCAACTGTGACACGTGTAATGAGACTTCGGGTATAACGACACTTCGCGAATAAGGACACTTTTCTGATGCCCCGTCGAGTGTCGTTATAAGCGAAGTTGACTGTATGTTATGCTCTGGCCAACACCGTCCTCTCCCACACAAAAAATGATCTCCTACGCCGGCTTTTGGTCAATCTGTGTGTGTGTGTGTGTGTGTGGGTGTGTGTATTTTAATTGGTATTTGCAATCTTGTTACATACTACAGGCACTTTGGCATTGAAAATATCCGCCATACTTACTTCCCTGTATTCTGGATACAAGAAGTAAGCGAGCTGTTACTGCTGTTACTGCTGCCGCCGCTGCTGCTGCTGTTACTGTTACTGCTGCTGTTACTGCTGCTGTTACTGCTGCTGTTACTGCTGCTGTTGCTACTATTGTATCTGCTAGTGTGTTTGTCCGCCATGTCTGCTGCCATCTCTTGCTTGCTTGTTTGTTTGTGTGTAGGCACATTACCTGTTAAAATTGTGTTTGTGTCCACTTTTGCAACAGTGTGCAACTATCTTGCCTGGAGATGCCGCCAAGCTGCACAAGTCTGTCATCCTACCATACAGGATAGTTACCTCCAAGTACATGTATTTTGCTATCGGTGGTGGAGGTGAGCCTTGTTCATATTCCAACTGTGCATGACTGTGCATGCTAGCGATTCTTGCAAGTAGTATTTTGGTGTGATGGTGGATTTCCAACTGCATGTGCTAAGGCCACATCAAACAAAGAAAGAAGTGTGTTTCAGGTTTATACCGTACCCTTTCTATGGTTGTAGGCGATGAGCCACTCTCCCCGCTGTGAGCCGATAAAGCCTGCCTAGGAAAACACGGTAGCAATAAAGCCCGTCGTCATTGACACCCGTACTATATCAGCCAATCACTGAAGACGACCCGAGTGCGAATCTATCTCGGTATCTCGACTGGGTGTGTGGCAGCTCAGTTCACATCTCACTGTCGGCTGTGAACATGTAGCTCTATGTTACCATCTACTGACACTATAAAGAGTTGTTCTGCTGAGCTCAAACATTATCATTGAATGCACAAGAAATCCACACGGAATTATTCATCACAACGGTGTTTTTGTTGTGTTTTTTTTACATCGGAAGCTCAACAGTGCAGCTGCACAAATATAAAGAGGCCGATGGGACCAATAAGAAAAAATATAAATGTTTAGAAAAAAGGCGGATGAGTGGTGAACATAAAGAGAAAAGAAGAGAAACGTATGCTGAACCTGGGCAATAAATAGCTGGTGAGAGGCTAAACATTCCCAATGTTGTCAAACAAAATTGCACGATATCGTTCAGAACAAACTGGATCATCCATAATAAACGCTTAAAACCACGATCAAACTGAGAGATAAACAAAGAGGATTTCAAGTGTTGAACTAGGAGTGAAGAGGAAATTGGGTTACTTTGCCATGAAGTATCAATGGTGTCCGGAAAAGAGGTGCCCAGGTAGGTGGACCGGTAGACAGCATTTGCATTCAATGAAGTTATCAGCCACACTGAGCAGTTGCTTCCGCGGCTGACGTGTGACTGCTGTCCGCTGGGTAGCAGCAGCAGCAGCACAGACATACATGCTGGCAGAATGACCTTGAACTTCTTCTGGAGGTCCTGATCCGCCATGGCCCTCTCTCTTTAGTGACAGCATACCTATGGCTGCTTGTCTGCACCGGCATAGTGTGCAAGCTGCACATGGTTAATGCATACCAATAGCAGAGATGTGAATAAGATGCCGTGGAGTGCATGGCCATGGGCAGCTGGGCAGACCCGGAATAGAAAGGTACTTCAGTACATCTTTCTTCATCCTATCGAGGTCGTCCAGCTGTTCTTGTGCAAGAGCATGCTTCACGTACATGCCCAATGGCAAAGATGCTGCCCAGTGAACATGCTCGGAGGACCAGCCAGGGCTTGTTTCTCTGCCCTTGCAATGAGTGATGGGCATGAGTGATGGGCAATGTTGCTGTTAGCCAGGCTACTGACAGTACTGTAAGCAACAGTACATGAAACTCTTTAGAACGCATCGAAACGTGCTAGTGGGTGGCCGACACCCAAAGCACTATTTTATGTGGCCTAGCCGCCTAAGTGTTGAACACATCCATTGGGGACCAAAACCCTCCATTGCTCCTGAGATCTCTTCCCCTACACAGGTGTTGTTGCTGTTGTTATTATTGTGGTTGTTGTTGTTTGAATTCTTTATTCTCACTATGGCACCATCGCCAATAAGAGATCTGTTGTTGTTGTTGTTGTTGTTGTTGTTATAAATTCACAAACGTTGTTGTTGCTATCACCTGATCGGTATTGTCATGTGTCCCAATGACCATGTGCTACCATGTGTAGGCCTTCTAATCTTCATCAGCACAATGTTGATAGTGAGTGGATTGCGACGCTATTGTCGCAGTGAAAGTGGAGAGCACCAGCCGCTGGTCAATTTCTCCGATGACGATGAGGATGCACGATGATAATTATAGTTGGGAAGATCACAGAGATGATACAACTTCTCTTCAATGTCAACACAACTGCTGTATTCAGTAGTTGTATACTAGTCCCCAATGTACCAGTACCACTCTCTGTGTGTATTGTTAGACATGCTGAAGATTACTGTTCGTACTATGCTGGTGCACATGCACTGCACAGCGTCAGCAACAGACGGCCAGCAGGCCAGCAGATATCCACATGTTACTGACAGTGCTGCTGCTGCTTCACTGTAAGGTCAGTAGACAATAGCTGTCACCATGGGACAGCAGAGAATATTTATTTGCCTTGAGTCAGATTTTCGCGCTGGCCGCTTGCTTTTGCTCCATCGCCAGCATACAGATACTTAGAGTGCGGGCTGTCCTGACCGCATTAGTTTATTTTACGTCGAATATGGTCTCGCTGTCTGGGACTGAGAGATACTCTATGATGACAGCGCCGTTCCTGCTGCTGCTGCGGCATGGTATCGATACACCTACAGATATGGTAGGCCTTCCATTAAATACATCGGTGCCATTGTTGCTGATGATGACGATGAGACTAGTGACATTGGCCTCTGTTTGTGTGCGCTAATGCCGATGCTCTTTCTGTACTTACCTACTTACTCAGCTTAACTTCCTAGCTCTTCGTTTACTAATAATAAAGTCTAGACCAATTCGTTCTGTACTACAGAGCGTATTCCACTTAGAAGCACCCGGGGTGTGCCATCGTTCACATTCAAGTGACATATCTCTATCATCATCTTGTGCTATGCAGCTGCTCTTGTCTTGGCTCTAACTTCCTAGTTTTTCAGCTCTGTAGGTATTATTTAAAATACTGTTGGGTTCATCTGGATACTTCTGAGGCTTGTTTCATCGAGCACCACTGCGCTGCTGCTGCTGGCTTTATTCTAAATGCCTTGCACACTGACAGCATCCACAGCACAGATCTGTTGCCTTATTTTCACTTTGATAGATTTTTTAATACTCTCGCAGCCCTTTGTCCTTGTTCTAACTTCTTACCATGGCGGCTGTAGTGGATCAAGTCTTCAAAAGTCCATAACACCCCCCCCCCCCCCATGGACTCTTGATGTAATCAGTTAAGATCATGATGACAGCATGCTTGGCCATGGGTATGACCGTATGTATGGTGAACCAGAGACGACCCCCCACCCACCCACTGGCACCCAGCCATGACCTACACACATATTGACATAATGCCTGCAGGAGTGCATGGGACCCATCCAGGCCTTTGATGGATGAAGAAACTGGAGTGGCACAGCCCTATCTTGTATACACATCAACCAGGCAGGGTCATTCCACTTGGACTTGGAGGTGATGTGAGTATAGTAGGGACGGTCCACACCACCATGCACCAGTATTGCGTGTACAGTGTAAGGTATGCATCACATGGCCTATGCAGTCCAGACTCCGACATATGCTGGACCGGGGCTTGTTCATCTGCTGGACCAGGAACGGTTGGGATGGTGAGGCACTGCCACAGTACATTACAACACTGGTCATGCCATGCACTACATGGAGTCCTGCAAAGAAAGTCGTGTAACACTGAGCCACTCATCTACCACCACCGCTGCACCCTGCGTCGAAGTCAATGAGGATATGAAGCTTCTTTTGAAGCAATTGTATTACATATCACCTGACAGAAGAAGTAAGGGCCCAGCCCAGTGTATGCTAGACAGGTAACAGCCATCAGGTTATTATAACCTACTTCACACAGCTTACTCGTATACACATGATACAGCGGTCGCTTCAGTGAAAATAAAAATTAATAATGGTAGCAGTCCAAACACATTGCTTATGCAGTGGCATGTGCAACGCATCTTGCCAGGGTTCAAGCAGAAAATCGGCAGACCAAGCTGCGTTCAAGAAAGAGTCCAATTTCTTGGTATTGATAGATACCAGCGTTCTATGGAGAATCAGAATAGTGATGAACAGAGAGCCATACAGGCCTGATGATGGCCGTCGTCGTCACTGCAGTAGTTCAAATACAAACTTGTCAAATAGGATTCTTTCTGGCTAGGACTAGTTGGCTACGGCTTGCATGTATTCAGTAAATCTTGGCTTATAGATAGGATATTGTGGCTGAAAAACTCACTCCACAAGTCACAAGTCATAAAATAGTTTAGATCGAAACAGGGACTCAAGTTATGGGCAGTATGTACTGCAGTACCCACAGCATAATCATAAGTTATGAACATACCTCCAACATGCTACTGTTTGCCTGACTTCCAGCAAGTGCAGTGAACAAATAGCAAAATGTGTTGTGCTGATTGTCTCCAGTGGGTAGAGTTGACCAGGACAGCACACAATCTCTTTCACTGCATAGGACAGTCTGCTCTCAAGAATTTCAATACAGACATGCCGGGTATCTGCCTATGCACTGAACAGTGAACACCTTACCAGTTACAGCAGCAGCAGCAGCAGCAGCAGCAGCAGCAGTGCCGACAGCAGCGACAGCACGGCAGCAGGATGTGCTGACAAATCGTTGGCATCCACAGCTGCGGCATCAGTACATGAGCACCGCATTAATTCCAGGTTGCATGAGTGGCTCATGCTGAGAATACCGTGCAGATCATTGGCTTGTCGTGAAGTTGTCACACCGCTACATGGACTTTGACCATATAGCATTCGTGCGATGGGGATTGTTCAATTCTGCCAGGCCCGCCTGTGCATGCATGTCTGACTTCATCCATGAACAATGACATGAGGATATGTGGTACGTCAGGAACCTAGCTAGAAATCTGGTCCAAATCAGCTTGTGATCTCCCAGCCTTCATCAATGCAGCAATGCAGATGCGAAACATGAGGAACAGTCGTTTGCCTGGCACTATCCGCATGCTACTATCATTGGACGTCTGGGTTTGTTGAGTCTGGGTGCAGGTGTAGGTGGACCCCAGTGATGGTGTTACATCATACCGTACATGTCCTCCGTGCAGCGACAGAACACACTGATGCATATAGCCGGCTGCGGTTCAGCGAAGGCTCTTGCGAAAGCCTTTCTTCTTGATGGAATGCTGTGATCCACCCGATATTAACTTGCGTGGACTCTGTCCACCGGGATCAGTAGAGAAGGATGATGACAATGACATCATTGACTCTGCTGGCGACAGATTGGCAGTCGACGATGAGTAGGGGGCGAACAGTGGATAACTAGACAAAGGCAGTAGAGAAAGAGAGATAGATGGATAAATAGATAGAGAGATAGATAGATAGATAGATAGATAGATAGATAGAGAGAGAGAGAGAGAGAGAGAGAGAAGGAGAGAAAAGAGAGAGAAGAACTTCGAAGTGTACACGGAGAGCAAGTACTACTTGTGCGCGCACCAACCATGATAGTACACGCACTTCTTCGAAGTATTTGCGTGACCTTTGGACAGTTTCTGAAATGACTGTGTAGTTACCATGGTTACAGTGTACAGTACTGTGCAGTTTCAACGTGTTCTGCGAGTGGTGCACGCTGTACTGACAATCTGTCCACAGCGCTGCATGCACTCTGCACTGCAGTTTGAACATATGGCCGCCTCATGGACATGGACATGACTGTAGTCATGATCCAGGATACCCAGACATTTTCTCCCCAGGTTTAGACGAATCCCAGGGAGTGACCCGGTCCGGTGACAACCGTATCAACCGGACCGGGTCCGTCCGGTGGCCCTGTTCGACTTACCAGGCATGGCTACCAGTGCGTAGGTCAAGGAGTGACAAGTCCACCAGCACCTCGCCTTGCATAACGTTACGACCAAGAACACCATGATCCTCCCAAACCATGACCTGCAACAAGCACACACATCTCTTGTCAACATGGCTCACAAACAAGTGTAAACACGTGGAGGTCCTATCAGGATCAGTATTTTGATGTATGCCATGACTCGGCATGAGCTACACTGGATTACATGTACTTCGTTTGCAAAATTGCTTCACATTGGTCCTCAAAATCAATGGTTCTTAGATTTAATAAAATCCAAGAATTTGTCCTCCTCACTGCCACCCAATAGCTTCTTTTCCATATAAGTCATACGTCACTGTTTATTGTTTCAAGTCATACGTCCAAAGTACATGCATGTACTTTGGACGTACGACTTGAAACAATAAACAATGATCATGGACTACAGTGCAGTATCAGCATGTTGGCTGGCAATGTTGTCAGGAGAAGCGAGCACCACACATGGTCCTAGAGGGCTACTGGCACCACAACCATCCCATATGGTGCAGTGGTATGTGCAGCGATTTCCAATCGATAGGTTGCGGGTTCGATTCCCGACGATTATGGTCACACACGTCTTTCTTCTCTTTCTCAGACTCTTCCTGACTTTTCTTTCATTCTCCTGGGTGGTTACCAACAGCCAGTGTATGCCGGAGTATGTGGTGTGGTGTGTGTGTAGAAAAAAAAGAAAAAAAGAAAAAATGGAAAATGGAAAAATGAAAAATAAGGATTCACTGGCCAGAAAAAGTCACTTCAAACAGCTGTGTGGTGGATACCAGGCTACAAATAGTGGCGGTCAATTCATCAGCCTTGCAAGCTGTTGAATGGTGTAATCCCAGCACAAGTTGCTATGTCTAACATAGCTGTTCGCTATCATCGCTCCCGCGATGGGCATGTCTGAGGTCTGAGGTGTATGTGTGCGTGCGTGCGTGCGTGCGTGCGTGCGTGGGTGGGTGTGTGTGTGTGTGTGTGTGTGCGTGCGTGTGTGTATATGTGTGTATAGTGGCGGTCAATTCTTCAGCCTTGCAAGCTGTTGAATGGTGCAATCCCAGCACAAGCTGCTATGGCTTCTGCTGTAGCATCGCTATCATCGCCTCCGGCGATGGGCGTCCAATGGTCCAATGGTGTGTATGTGCATATTATTGGGGTTGCCATCAATTGATAGGGTTTACTGTGCATGTCCTACCTTCATTATTTTATCTAGTCCTTGGGAGCGGAACATGAGGACCTCGTCAAAAATCACATTGTCACGACCCTGCCGACCCTTTGTCTTGCGTTTGTGAACTTTAGTGCCATCGTCACTTTGCAGGTATGCCTTCACATAGATGCCTATTTCACACGCACACATGCACAAACACACACACACACACACACACACACACACAGGCAAAACGAGTTATGAAGCAACTATCCATGACTAACAAGATAAACAAGTAAAATATTTTATTTTAATCCGAACCCGTTCTTCATGTGTAACATATATTTCCGCTGTTATTCCTCGGCTAGAGATCACCACCCGTAGATCTACGCACACTATGCCACGCGAGTAAAGCCTCTCCAAGCTGCTCGATCCTGAACCATTGTGGAGAGTTCGTCAAGATGGCGCTGAGTAGATGTGCCTGGCGCATTCCTGCGCGACGCGTCACTGTGCAGAACACCTGGCAGTGTGGTTGGAGGGTCGCCCTCTCCTTCAGTGCTGCTGTGCATTTCGTCTGGTGCCGGTATTGTTTTCGGATTTCATCCAACACACGTGTTCTCGCCAGCACCAGGCAAACGCTTGGTGCCACAGACGCTACACGGTCTTCATAGTGATTCATATTCATATAATGTAGGGACACTTGATACGAATATACCGGTATCTAACCCAGACCCTTACCCTAAATTACAAAGCAGCGGTGGTAGCAGCAGTAATGGCGGCAGCGGCACCGTTAGGCATTGATCAGTAACACGTTGTCGTTAAGACTCACTTGGTCTGAAGTCTGGTGCTGATCTGTAGATGAGATTTGCCACTGAGCGCACTTCCAACAGCACCATTGCATTACTACTGACGCCGCGTGCACTCAGACCAAGCTCAATGTCACCGAATGTTGGTCCGTTGAACAGATGTGTTTCCACTATCTGCCCGGCCCCATACATTGGTGTCACATTTCCCATAGATCTGCAATGGCATATGTTGTCAATAGAAGGAGAAAGAACAAACAAGGGCAAAAAGAAATAGAGAGTTGATGAGTGAGTGAGAGAGAGAGAGAGAGAGAGAGAGAGAGAGAGAGAGAGATAGAGAGAGAGAGAGGAGCAAGAAGATGACGTGCCGTTTTTCCTGATTCGCAACCACCGTGGATCAATGCGTACGAGCTCGTACTTGAAATGCACAAAAATGTCACATGAAGCGACAAGTACTTACTGCAGGACTGCATGTGACTGAAAACTCTCCTCCCGGACTCCACAGCAACACAACCGGATAGGACGGGAATATTATAATTATTAGGACTGAACAAACATGAAACGGGAAGTACAAAAAGGAAAAGACTACATACCAGCCGCCATCAAAATCGGGCTCAACACAACAACCGGCACTACATCATTGCGCAACAACTTTGGAGCATGCGCATGCTTGGCCAAGTCCTGTTACCATGGGACCACTCTATCACACTCCTCCGCCTGGTAACAGGGAAATTGTATCACCAAAGTGAACGGGCAAAGAAACATTCCAAGGGGACAAAAGTGGAAAGAAGGGACACAAAATGCGGGAAAGAAGACAACGGTCTCGCAGATGGACCATACACACGGATATACATAAAAGATGGCAAACAGCAAGTGAAGGGCAACCATACCGGAACCGAATAGAAAAGAGAATACCCACGCAACCAGAATAGATGCGGCACGAGCAGCCACAAAGCATATGGTGCAATGTACCGTCACACGAAAAAGTCCAGAATGACACATGCAGTACATGAACACAACGGTGTGAGTTACGTACGGAACCGACCAGGGACCTGCAGACTGGAACGATCGCGCAAACCATAGCCATGGACAGGCGTGTCAGGCATGGCATCATGTACGGGGGGCGTCTGCAACACGAGCTGGACAACGGGGTCCCGGTCGTCAGCCTCCACTGCCGCCGGCGCGTCGGCAGGGCCATGCGCATCAGGAGCCTGTGGATCTCTCTTCAGCAAATCCACGTTCACCAGCTTGGAGCGACCATCAGCTGTGGCAATACGGACTGTCGACGGGGAGATGATGCGGATTACGTGCCATCCAGATTCGAAGGGGGTGAGAATCTTCGAATGCCGCTCCGGACGCCGAAGAAGGACGGCAGTGTCAACGGGGTATGGACACTCGGGCACGGGAGCATCGAGGAAGTCAAGCCGTGCTAGCTCAACTTCGAGGTGATCGCGCAGGCGGGCAGACTTCCGCTGCAACTTGTCCACCCAGGCGCTGTCGGACAGTTCAGTGGAATCTTGTTCGATGAGAAGACGGTGAGGCTGCCAGCCGTGCATGGCTTCCATCGGGCTAATCTTCGTAGCGGTGTGCGGGCGAGAACGGTAGTGGAACAACAGAAGCTCGAGGGCAGTCTCCCAGTCGTCATCATCCTCGAGCGTCTTGCGGATGATCGTCAACAGCGTCCGGTTGAAACGTTCCACAGAACCTTGTGACTGGGGATGTCGAACAGCGCCCCGCTGGACCGTGACGCCAAAGGACTTGAACAGGGCTGACACAATGGCATTGACGAACTCAGTGCCATTATCGCTACGCACAACCTCAGGCGCGCCCCATCGTGAGCAGATAGAGACCATGGCAGCAGCGACCTCCGCCGAACAGTGGCGCTTCATCGGGACAACTTCGACCCACTTGGTAAAATGGTCGATGCAGACGAGTACGTAGCGGTAACCAGAACGGCTGACACCAAGCTCCAAGGTATCGATGGAGACAACACTCCAGGGACCGTTGGCGGAGACAGGTCGTGTCGGTGGCACACCGGGGCCACCACGAGGGTTTGCAGCCGTACAGGGGGGACAGCGGCGGATGAAGTCCTGACACTTCTCGGCCATGTTGGGGAAGTAACAGACACCCCGGAGAAACCGCCACATGACCTCCCAGGAGGCGTGGCCAGTCTGTTGATGGGCACCCCGAAGAACGAACTCTTCGATGTCATTCGGCACGACTGGTACTGACATGACCTCGTTAGGGGGTAGCTTGACGCTCCGCATCAGCACGCCATCCACGACGGTCAATTGCTGCTGAACACGCTGGAATGCCGGCGAACGGACAGCATGGCCGGCCACAAGGTCCTCGACGACAACCGGAATCACCTCGTCCTGCTGCTGCGCCGCGGCAATCTCGCCCAGGGTTAGGACACGCCAGGCGGCATCATCAGCGACAGCGGCGCCAACGACATCGGCATCACCAATCGGGCCAGACATCTTCGCAGTCTGGCGGGCAAAGCGGAGGAACGGCGGTGGGACACGTGTGAGCTGATCAGCAATGTTTTGCTGTGTGGGTACCCAGACCACGTCAACACTCATGCCGGACGAGTCGACGATATCGAGAATAACCTGCAGCCGGCGTTGCACGAGGACTTCGTGCAACCCACTGACGTGAACCCGCTTGATGTTGTCGAACAGAGAACGCAGCCACCCATGCACCGTCTGGGAGTCGGTCATGATGCACAACTTCGGGATACGCCAAGACGACGCGAGAGTGAGGCCCTTTACCACGGCATCTAGCTCGGCGACGTTGATGTGGCGTTTATCGGTGGCACCGCGGAGCCACGACTGGTCTTCGAGTACAGTACCATCAGCTTCGAGCACGACACCGTAGGCAATGCTGGAGGCGTCGCACCAAACACGCCAGTCTTGGGGATCGTCCGCAGTCCAGGCTCCATGAACAGGGTCGTCGCCCTCCACACGCTTTGCCGCATCGTGGCAAAGGTCGCACAACTCCTGGGGGACAGCTGCATCCCAGGCATCCGTTGTTGCAGACGCCAAGCGCTTCAGCCAGCTAGCCAAAGGGCGCAGATAGCCACAGACCGGATAATGACCAGTCAGTTGACCACACCACTGGAATACATTCCGCTTAGTCATCTGGGTAGGAGGGGGTTGCAGTGGCTCGCGTCGCTCCCACTGGCCATCGTGCGTCTGCAGACCAAGGACGCGAGTCGCATCAACGTCCACAGCAGGTTTCGTAGGCAATCCATGGGCGGTCAGCGCGTCCGCAAGGGCCTCCGCCTGATCTGTCGGCGTGATGATGTCATCAATGTAATTATCGGTGTCGGTGAAGTCACGGGTCACCCATTTCACAATAGTGTCCAAGACTTTCGGCGCAATGGCAAGGCCAAAGCCCATGCGCTCCATCACGTACTGTCGTCCTTGCCAAACGACCATCTGGAACCGCTGCTGGGTTGGGTGGATGCGAACATTCAGGAAGGCCTTACGGATGTCGACAATCTTGGACGCGCCTTTCCGTTGCCGCCACTCGCGAAGCTTCTCAGGGCACGCGGGTGCCTCCCGACCAGGGCTGGAGATGATCCGAACGTTCAGCGCACGGTAGTCCAAACACGGACGCACGGGTGTGGTAGGCTTATGTTCCTGACACACAGCCAACAGTGGCAGTACAGCGCCTGGTGGACCATGTCGATCAGCATCATACGGTACAAGCCATCCCTCCGCCAGCCAAAGGTCAATCTCGGCCTGGAACTTGGCCTCCTGCTCCGGTGACAACTTCTGGCGGGAGTATTCGCCAATACCAGAGCCAATAGGGGCTTGCGGTGGTGCGCCTGCCGACCAACGCCATTGGACTTCCCAAAAACCACGCTCGGCGTCGAAGGCGACCTCAGCATCACCCATGGACAGGGTGACATTCGGCCCATCTCGTGACACAGAGACATCGCGTGGCAACTTAGCGGAGCTCTCCGGGTTGTCAGACTCGGACGTGGTATCGGATGCAGTTGACGGATCACGCTGGCGACCAAACCATACGGTTGCGAGGACGCCATCGGGGGCATAACCAAGGTGCACGCCACCCACGGAGGAGATAATGTCCAGTCCCAGAAGGATATCAGCGTCAACCACATCCAAGGTGTCGACAACGAGGAAATCAGCAGTAACTTCAGGCAGGTGCACTTTGTCATCGTCACGATGAACAGTCAACCGGACTTGCCCAGACACCACAACTTCCTGCCCATCGATGGCGGTAATGCGCGGGTTGGACTCTACGAGCTGAACGGGTACACCCAACTCGGAGACAACGCGATAGCTGATCAAGGACTTACTAGAGCAGGAATCCACGGCAGCACGCAGCCTGGCCTGGCCCTCACTATAGACATGAATCCTGGGCAGCGACGAACAGGGACTTGCCACGACACTGAGGCAGGCATTGCCCGTGGTCGACGAGCCAGAGCCCGCAGCACAGGCGGTACTAGTGGGCGTCTGAGAAGAACTGGCACCACCACTAGACTTCAGCTGAGGGCACTGACGCTTGACATGGCCGGGCTGCTGACAATGAAAGCAAACAGGAGGACGTCTCTGCCGGTTCGGGCAATCGCGCCGCAAATGCCCAGTCTGATGACACTCATAGCAGAGGCGACTAGGGGTGGAACTGCCACTGGGTCGTCGAGCAGGGCTGGCTGCCAGAGCAGCAACGGGTTCCTTGACTAAGCTGCCCGCAGCACAAAGGGCACGGGCCTGGGCTGCAACTGAGCTTACCGTAGCCCCAGCAGGTTGAGAGGCTGCATTCAAACGAAGCTGCACGGCGAAGTGAGGCGGAAGCCCCACCAGGAACTGCTCCAAGAGGATCGGGTCCTTGCCGTCCGCTGCCTCCTTGTGTCCACTTAGCCGTTGCAGCCGCCGAAGATCCGCCAAGTAGGCGTCGACAGTTTCGTCCGCACGCTTCCTCCGCTTGACAAACTGGTGGTAGGCATCGGCAGGGGTGACTGAAAATGACTCCACGAGCCGCTGCTTTACCTTGGCCTCGTCCTTCTGATCATCACTGGCCATCTCACACCAAACAGTGAATGCATCACCCGACAAATACAATGGGAGTACGGCCATCCGGGCTTCTGACGACTCAAGCTTCTGGATGCCTGCCACCACCTGGAACTTCTGCCAGAATTCATCCAGATTATCATCGCGCCCCCGAAAAGGTCGCAGCAAATTGTCCACGCGAGGACCCGACGCCATCACTATACAGGCCGTCGACCAAAAACACTGTCAGAAAAAACGAATAAGACTAGGTTCAGCAAACGGGTTTCGGCACCACTTGTGACTGAAAACTCTCCTCCCGGACTCCACAGCAACACAACCGGATAGGACGGGAATATTATAATTATTAGGACTGAACAAACATGAAACGGGAAGTACAAAAAGGAAAAGACTACATACCAGCCGCCATCAAAATCGGGCTCAACACAACAACAGGCACTACATCATTGCGCAACAACTTTGGAGCATGCGCATGCTTGGCCAAGTCCTGTTACCATGGGACCACTCTATCACACTCCCAACATGTCCTTATTGGCCAATCCATGCTTTCTTATGTCCCTGCTACATGTCTAGCATGACTCACTACATACAGTGTGATTGCAATGCACTCGTGTCCTACTGCAGGCTATCCGTGGTCCCCTATGCGCTGGCTGCACGCGGACGACGCTTCATTCGCACACCACTTCTACTTGACGGATCCCAACCATCCGCAGAACAAGTGGCTTCTCCTGGGTAAGGCGGCTGTCAGTCCACTGGCACCTGACCTGAGAGAGTACCTGACCTGAGAGAGAATGTTCAGGGTGTTGACCATTACAGCATAACCTGTCAAGGCGACTACTCTGATAAGGAGGCGACCACCTGTCCTAGAGGACCACTACAAATAGGACTAAGGGGTGTTATTTCCAGTCAAATGACCCTGGATAAGAAGACCACCTGTACGTGGGGACCACACTTTGTAGGTCCCCTGAGCCGTCAGCTTAG